AGAGAGAGAGAGAGAGAGAGAAGAACAAGAGTAAACATACAACTGAAGAACGTTAAAGACGATAACATGTACATCGAGAATTTAAGTGGAATTGCTCAAGATCGTTACCTGCGAAACTACGTTCCAATTTACGAAAAATTCTTGTTTAATTCCTAGAAGTGAATTCCGTCGAGAGTTTAGCGGTTCGGGTCTATAAACTGTTAAGAGCGGTTCCAAGAGCGGCGTTTTCGGGGCAATAAGACGGTCATCAGATGCGAGAGAATCGATCGATACAAGCACAAACGAAACGGCTGACCGCTCTAACTGCACTTAATTGCGGTATATATTCGCTCAAAGCCTCAACCGTACGTTCGGACTGCCGGATTCAATCGCGACAAACAGTTCGCGTATACTCGGAAGAGCCGCAGCGAAATTAAACTCGACGAGTTTCGCGAAAGATGCTAACACACTAGAGGAGCTCGAGAGACGCACGGTTGCGCGCTCGCAGGTCTCTCGCGTTAGAGAACACGCCGATGTTTCGGCAAATTTCGGCAAAAAATTGTTTTCTGTTTATGAAACTCTCGTGACGTTGTCAAGGTTTACGTTTGCCGTTTTCTTTTGAAATTTTTCACAGTGGAATATCACACACATTAGCGCGCGCACGTGTGTATGTGTGTGTGTGTGTGTGTGTGTGTGTGTGTGTGTGTGTGTGTGTGTGTATAATCATACTTATCGGAATTGATTTAAAGATAACATAGCTAAAGATTTATACATTTAAATTACTAATAGTTTATAATGTTAATAATAGTTACTAATAATTAATAATGCAGAAAATAATGTAGAAAACAAAAACATGAATATTCTTTCAAAATAATTTTCTTTGTTTCTATTCCTAAATCGATTAAAATATGTCAATATAATCGATATTTATCATTGCACTACCAACTCTCGCCACCGTTTTTTTCTCAAAAATGTATTTAAACAAAGTTAAGACATTTTTTAAAGACTTTGACAGTAGCGAAACGTGCAACACAGGCGAGTGTGATTGATACAAAGTTGTAAAATCATAATTCAATCATGAGCCCCTCAAACTCCTTTCTTACATGTAATAACATGCTTGCAAATTTGAGAAAAAAAAACCAGAGATCACGTTGAGAGTGTTAATCGAATGTTTAACGGAAAGACTGTCGAAATAATTCAAAATATATGTAAATGTCATAGAAAATATTTTTCCATTTTACTTGACAGATATTTCAATACTTTTAATTACAATCTATGTAGCGGTGTGACTACCGAATCTTGTCCTGGTCTTTCGAAGTAGGGAATCCATGTATCTTGCATACACATACACATTTATATCCATGGATCATTATTTACGTTTGTGCAATCGAGTTACACGAATGCTTTTCTGGAAATAACTGTATCGAGATATGATATCTTTAAATGTTTCATCTTTCCTTGAATTAATATGTTTACGCTGTACTTGCCTCGTCATTCCACCTATCCCGAACTATCTAATGCAGAAAATATGGATATATGGATATAGATTAAGCAGACTCTAGCATTATCACTGACAAACCGATTGATCGCTTCACCATATGAATGTCCGGCTCGATGTCGGTCCACTCAGTTATGTAATTATGATCACGGATTCACAAACAGACATGATTACATAATCACAAAAATAGGTTCTGGAGTATTCTTCCGAGTATGATGATACTTCTATGATTTGATTTGTATCAGCTTGAATCGTCATTATCGATACACATCGACGTGGGCATAGAGAAATTCACTGAAAGAGCGCGGATACATCCCAAATTTTAATAACGCGATCTTGACCGATAGTCAACAATCTTCGTCTGGAAGCATCCAAATCCATCCCGATGACACTGTGTTTGGCATCATGGAAGGAGGCCAATGACGACTGACTGCGTAAATCAAAGAAAGTCAAAGAAAGACATTTTATTAGGCTCTTGCGTACTCGTTCGCGCCGCAAATCGACGTGTCTTTTAAGGAAGAAGGTGATGCGCAACTTACTTTTCCGATTTAAGCTGTATGTGACATTGATCGCAAACTCTTACTTCAAACTCGAAACCCATCGCTGGTATCGGTATCCGTTGCGACGTGCAGCGAGCACACAAAGCGCGACCGCAGTAACGGCAATGGTGCTGCCTTAGACCCAATTGTCGTTGGTCCATCATAGCTTTTATGTTCCAGAAAAAAGGTCTTCCACAAGCCTGAATTATATTCATCTTAGAGTAATATCATAAAACAGCATATACACACATTAAATCTCGCCCTTGAACATACCTGACAAATGTCGGACTCGACCCAAGCTGCGGTTTCCTTCCTATTTGCCCCCATATTCCAACAGACGATCACGCCATCCTCACCTCCAGACAAGAGTAAACGTTCGACACTCGCGTAGCATAATGCCGTCACTTTGTTGCTGAAAGATAATCAGCCGGTTCGAAAACATTTCCAAATAACAAAAATTAAATAATTTCACGTGTATGCTTACTGGTGTCCTTGAAGCTCGTAAGCGGTGCCTTGGCGACCTCCAATGTCCCAAACGATAATGCTTTGATCAAAACTTCCGGAAAACAACAATTGTTTTTCAGTATCCCATGCTAATGTATGGATACTTCCCGTGTGTGTTTTCAACGTAGTAATGAAGGTAACACCATTCGTGTCTAGTTTTAACATTGCTATTTGACCAGAGTAATCTCCCACAAAAGCATGTTTGGATTGAGTATCGAATCTGTGTGTGTGTGCGCACGTGCGAGTTAAGCCAAATAGATGTATTACAAATTATTTTACGGAAACTTCCCTCATCAATACAACAAAGTTTTTTTTACACAAAAGGATACTGTAGAGCGGTATACCATGCGTCTGTTTGGTACGAGCCTAATTTTTGTCCTGTCTCCGAGCTGTGTAACTGAAATAATTTATCCCGACCAATACTTAAGACCCACTCAAAATCTGCTGCAAAAATGATTCCTGTGACTCTCGCTTGATGTGCTAAATAATCGCGCATAGCTGTCATTCGATTGTAATCTTGCTCCAAAATAAATTCCTATAAGTCAAATGACATCTCAGTCATACAAAATTAGAATCAACAACAAAATAAGGATGATTTAACATACATTTATGCTTCCATTATCCAGGCCTACAAATAGTTGCCTCGTTTCTACGCAATAATGCATAGAAGTAGCACCTGCTGGCATATATTGACAAATACTTGGCCAATAATGACCGGAATCCCGCTTTAGCCATACTCTAACAGTCCTATATAAAAACAACTTGAGATAAACACATGATGAAAAATTTAAATTAAAACACACCTAAACACACATACATATGTATAGTAAAAATTATACTTTACAAATACAAATAATAATATACAAAAAATACAAATAAAGAAATACAAATAAAGAAATATAAAAAGATTATTTACGAAAGGAACAGAGAGAGAGGGACATAGCTTTATACGCGCGTATGTGTTCGGATATACTACATTCGTAGAGAATTGGTACTTTCAATATTGTTCAGTATGACGTGCAAGAATCATGCACGTTGCATAAGGATACGACAAACATATATAAGATAAAAAGATTCTAGGTGTGTCCACGTAGTAAAAAAATTGTGCGCATTTTCACAGCAAAAATAAGGAACTCAATGGGACGTAGGAAAGTAAATAGCGATGTGGAAATCTAGAAATGCGCGAGAAAAGTACGGACTATCGAGGAATATTTTTTTGAAAGCATTTTCATGAATATCTGCATGATGGATACCTGTCATCGCAAACACTGATTACACCCTCTTCTCGCGGAATAATGATAGCCGCGTTAACGTCGTCGCTGCAGCCTTCCAATTTTGATAGGAGGACCGGCTTGCGGCTATTGCTGAATTTATCGTGATTTACTCCCGGGGCGGGCTTTATTTCCGCTGCCATTTCTCAACCGCGCGATTGCTGGATAACAACCCCACAAATACAATTGCCATTTGACACTTGTCAGATGCTAACACGCGCGTTACCAAACTTACCTAAATGAGACACTGGCATTAGTGGCTGCGTTCTGATATTTACTGTCAGTACTGAAAATATATAATTCAGGTCATGGTGTAAAGAAAGGTAAACCATTCCGATGGATGCGCAGTAGGTCAAAGATAGTGGGGGACAGTCAACCAATTACGCTTTGAGCTTTTATGCGAAATTCAATATGGCTGCTTATTGAGTTTTGTTTTAAATGACAGTGTGATATTAGTGCTAAAAATACCAATTTGTTGCGTTCAAAATTGCAAAGCCGGACCAGTCGTAATAAAATATCGGTTGTAGGGAAAATTACAATTATGTATTGTATTATTTTCCCAAAGAGTATGAACTATGAAAACAGTGGCCTCGAAGGGTGTCAACGAAAGGAAGGGGATATAAAGCTCAATTATGCTAAGTTTATATCCCGAATGCTTATAAATATAATCTTTTCTTTTTCATATTTTATATGTCACAAATAACTACGATGTAATGATATATTCTTGTTGTAAAACCAAAATTATATTTCCTTTTAATTATCTCTTATTTTAACACATTTGTAATATAAATGTACATTATATAATACTTATACATTATAAAACAATAAAATTTAAGTCAAAAGCAACAACAATTTGTTAACAGAATATGTTTTCATTAATTCTTCATAAACAATTCTTTATTTAAAAAAACGAACGAATAAAATGTTTTTAACTCATAGAGTCTCCTTCAATATATGTAATTAAGTGTTGTATGAACAAACGAAATAATGACAGAATGCTTTTACTGCGTTAGCGGGGAATGCGCTATTAGCATTATCACATTATCTTTATTGCTCATTATATGTAAATTAAGGAATAATGCGATAGAATAATGCGATAGTTCTAATAGCGCGTTCCCCGAACTCAGTCTGAATATGAGAACGTGTTTAAAAAATCCCCCAACAGAAACTCATAAATGACACATCTTAACAGATTAAAATTTTGACATATAATAAAAATTAAATTTGATCAATATATAAGTAAGAATTCTAAAAGCGTAAATTGTACTATCAACAATTTGTATAATTATACTTTATTTTTATAATATTAAATATTTTATAATATTAAATCTTATTTCATTTTTGATACTTGTAAACAGCATATTGCATAAAAGCTCAAGCTCTGATTGGTCAACATCTCAGACCTCCGCCATTATGCGCAATGATTTACCTTTCTTTTTACACCATGCTTTGGAACACAGTCGTGTGTCATGCGGCTGCATTCCGAAATTCATTGTCAGTACTGAAAATCTATAATATACCTGAACTATGGTATAAGAAGAAAGGTGAACCATAATGGTGCATAATGGCGGAGGTCTGAGAGCTTGACCAATCAGAGCTTGAGATTTTATGCAGCGCGTTGTTTACAAATATCAAAAATGAAATAAGATTGTCTAATGCAATTTGGATAAAAACATGTTGTATTTAATATTATAAAAATAAAGTATAACTATACAAACATAGTCATTGACGGTATGATTTACGCTTTTAGAATTCTTACTTATATATTGATCGAATTTAATTTTTATTACATGCAAAATTTTAATCTGTTAAGGCTCGGTTGTCTCTCTGCAGTTGTATTGAATTATGACATCAGAGGCGAGAAATGACATGTAAAAAGTTTCTTGCGTATAACTTTGTCTTGTATTTTTCCTTTAAAAACGATATTTTCGTATTTTTAAAACTTGTAAAAAATAGAAAGTAAGATATTTGTCAATAAATCACGTAAAAAGTGTAAAATCTTGAAATAATGGTACACTGCTTAGATCAGAAATTATCAGA